TTGGCCAGAGAGGACATGCTATCCCTTTGCTTCTCTCAATCTGAAGGACTTTCATAATCTTATGCATCTCTACTTAGATGCTGTATTTAGACCGCTTGCTATTAAACCTAACACTCATCATTTAAAACAAGAGGGCTGGAGATATGAAGCTGTACCCAAGGCATCCGCCTCTACTACGGGATCGGGATCGTCTCCTTCAGAATCGGGATCGTCTCCTTCGGGATCGGGATCGTCTCCTTCGGGATCGGGATCGTCTCCATCTGAGGTTGATTGCAAGGTGTATCCTGAGGCTTGCGAATTAAAATATGCTGGTATTGTCTTTAGTGAGATGAAGGGGGTCTTCTCAAGCCCCGAGTTATTAGAAGAACAGAGAAGGTTTCAAGAGCTGTTCCCTGATGTATCGACGTACAGAGAGGTTGCGGGAGGAGACCCGGAGGCGATCCCTCAGCTAACGATCCCTCTTCTGGCGGACTTTCATAAAAAATATTATGCACCTTCAAACGCTTGGGTCGTTCTCTACGGCCCTGACCCTGTTCAAGAGCGCCTCTCTCTTATAGATGATTATCTTACTCGACATGGTTTAGGAGCTTATAAACCCCCCCCAGTTGTCATAGAAGAACAGGTGGCCTTTCCAGGTAGGGTTTAGGGTTTAGGGTTTAGGGTTTACGGTTTACGGTTTACGGTTTGCGGTTTGGGGTTTAGGGTTTAGGGTTTAGGGTTTTTAGCCCGAGGATGAGGGGTTAAGGTTTAGGGGTCTTTAGAGTTTAGGGTATTTCAAGGACAGGAGTCTCGCAATGAAGCTTTTTAGGGTTTAGGGTTTAGGGTTTAGGGTTTATTGTAGTGTGTTGATTGGATGTTGTGTTTTGGATGTTGTGTTTCCGGTGTACGCTGAGCATCGCTATGCGTCTTCGGCATCAGAATTAAAAGACTGGGTGACGATTAGCTGGGTATTGAACCCGCGCGAGGCGGTGGCATCAGCTTGCAAGTTGTTCGGGGAAGAGGAGCGTCTGCTGTTTCGTATCCTTCACTCTCTCTTAACCGGTACTAAGACAAGCCCCCTATACAAAGCATTAGCAGACAGCAACTTAGGGGGCCCCGTGCATGCGCCTGGGCTAGACCTAGACCCCAAGCAGGCTGTCTACACCGTCGGTCTCAAGGGTAAGCATCCAGCTAGCTAGCTAGCTAGCTAGCTAGCTAGACAAATGAGCAGACGCGTGAAGCCTCCGCTAGCTAGTCACTGGGCTAGCTAGCGAAGTCTCTAGCTAACTAGCTACCCAGCTAGCCATCCATCTAGCTAACGGGGTAGGGAGCTAGCTATTCGAGTCGCCAGATAGTGCTGCAAGCGGGCAAACCATCTACCCAGCTATCTGTCTATCTATCTACCTATCTAGCTAGCTAGCTAGCTGGCTAGCTAGCCTTCCTGTTGTTTGTGTTTGGAACTGTTTGTATATTTGTTGCTGCTGCTGTCTGGCGTGTGAATACAGAGGTGCCGCAGCGAGAGGGTGCTGCTGCTGCAGTAGAGAGAGTTGTGATGGAGACTCTTGAGCAGATTGTAGACAAAGGTTTCACGCCTTTACAGCTCGCAGCTGCGCTCAACAAGACAGAGTTTTCGCTCAGAGAATGTCCTCGAAAAAGTCTGCCCAGGGGTCTTGTATTTACGCGGCAAATGTCCCAAGAGATTACCTTTGGAAAGGTGCCTATACACCCCAAAACCCTAAACCCTAAACCCTAAACCCTAAACCCTGCGATGAAGAATAACGTAATATACAAGGCCGGCCCAGTCGCCTATGCTTCAGGGATTTCTAGGGGGTTGTTTGTTTGTTTGTTTGCTCTTTGCTTCGAGTTTAGGGTTTAGGGTTTAGGGTTTAGGGTTTAGGGTTTTGTCTCTCGTTTCCTGTTTGGTGTTGTTTGTTGTGTGTTTGTTGTTGCTGCTTTGTTTGCCTTCCTTGTCTGCTGCTGTTCGTCTCCTTTGTCTCCTTTCTCTCTTCTTATGGCAAGCTGGTGTTACTGCTGCTGCTGCTGCTGCTGCTGCTGCTGCTGCTGCTGCTGTCTCCTTTTAGGATGCGATGAACGCTCTTCGATTCGAAGACACATTATGGAGACTCCGTCAGCGCCTTGCAGCGGGAGAGAAAGTCTTCGAGAAGCTAATTAAAAAGTGCGTTGCTGCTGTTGCTGCTGCTGCTGTTGCTGCTGCTGCTGTTGCTGCTGCTGATGCTGCTGATGCTCTGCTACTCTGCTGATGCTGCTGCTGATCCTGCTGCTGCTTTGCTGATGCTGCTGCTGACCCTGCTACTGCTGCTGCTGTTGCTTCTGGTTATACACCTGGTGGGGGCGTGTATTGCAGCTGCTGCTGTTAGGTGAGGGATTCTGCGCTGCTGCTGATTTGTTTGTTGTTGTTTGTTTTTACTGTTTATGTTTACTCTGTATGTTTATTGTTTATTATTTTTATTTATCGTTTTTATTTATTCTTTTTGCTTCGTATCTATGTTTATTCTTTATTTATACTAATTGTTTATTGTTTATGATGCCGTTCATCTGTCTCTTTCTCTGCAGGCAGGCATTAATTATTAATTATTAATTATTAATTATTTATTATTTATTATTTATTGTTTATTATTTATTCTGTTTGTCTTCAGACATCTTTTACAAAACACTCACCGACTGACGCTGCGTCTGAAGGCGAGCAGAGAAGTAGCAGAGGAGACAGCAGAAAAAGAGAGACGTGCACTTGCTGCTGCAGCGCAGCAAATGGGTCTTGAAGGGATTGCTGCTGTAGCGAGGGAGCAAGAAGAGCTTAAGCTGCTGCAGGTTAGAGACAGTGAATCACGCAGACCCTAAACCCTAAACCCTAAACCCTCACAGAGACAGGGGTAGGATACAGAGACAAATAAAAGGAGACAGGCAAAAGAGACAGAGATAGCAGAACTGCGAGTTTCTGTTTATGTTGTGCATGCAGACAAACCCTGCATCTCCTGAGGCCTTGGCGTCGCTTCCGAGTCTTCAGAGAGAAGATATCAAACCAGTGAGCCCCCTGCTGTTGCTGCTGCTGTTGTTGCTGCTGTTGCTGCTGTTGCTGCTGCTGCTGCTGTACTGCAGCATGTATTCCCAGGCAGGTCCTTGCTCATATATGCATGCATAATATACGTATATGCCTTTACATGCATATAGATGTGCGTACATATGTATATATATATATATATATATATAT